TCATCCCTATACCAGGGATAATGTGCTATGGGAATAAATGGTGCAAAATGTCTAAAGGACATAACACAATGCGACAACAATAATAGTTGTCACAGGTGTGTAAAATGTTTGGAATGCAACCCCTGAACTAGTCTGCTTGGTCTGAGTCTCATGTCCACCACTCACAGCCAGATGTTTTTGGCTAAGCTCCTTAATCATGTTGGCCTCAGTTTCCTCTTCTGTAAAATGGACATGATACTAGCACCCACTTTGCAGGTTTGTTGTGAGGGTAAAATGAATGAATCCATACATAGCACTTAGCACTCAACAATAGCAAGCACTGTGACTGTTGTACCAGGTCCAGCTGATTCTCATTCACTTGCTTTTTCCCTGGTACATTCCATCCACCGAGGATGCCCTAAGTACACCCCACAGGCCTTGTAGTCATGATGTCCTAGAAAAATGAACTGAACTTGGACTTGCCTGGTTTCGAATTCTGAGTGCTTTAACTTAGCCCAGGCCACTTTATCCTCCTCTGGGAAAAAACTGAGAAGGAGGAACAACTTCTATTTTTTTAAAAGTTTAATTATTTATCTGTTTGAAAGGCAGAGAGAGAGAGAGAGAGAGAGAGAGAGAGAGAGAGAGAGAGAGAGATTGAGAGATCTTGCATCTACTGGTTCACTCCCCAAATGGCCATAACAGTCAGGCTATGGCAGACCAAACCCAGGAGCTGGGAACTCAATTTAGGTTGCCTGTGTGGGTGTCAGGGACCCAAGTGCTTGAGCCATCATCAGCCCCCTCACAGGGTGTGCATTAGTAGGAAGCTGATTACAAGCAAAGGAGGAATGTGAACTCAGGTGTTCTGTTTTAGGATGTGATATGGGGTGTGGACATCCTAGGTGATGGCTTAACTGTGGCACCACAATGCTGACCCCAGGAAGAGCTGCTTAGGCCAGGTACCAGCAGTAGCCATCTCAGAGCCGGCAGAGAGCTGGCAGGTGCCACGGGGCTCATACTCTGCTCTTCCTACACTCGCATCACAAGGTGGGATCAGAAGGAGTCCTTGGAGGCATGCACATCTGCCAGCAGCGGGGGCTGCTGGACCCTCTCAGAGGGAGAGGGAAGCCAGGCTCTTTTGTGGCCATTGTCTGGAGGCCCCGAGCCGACTCACTGTGTAGTTCAGAGCCCAAACTGCAGGCAGGCAGGGCAGGAGGCTGCAGGCATCACTCAGTGGCCTGATAATTGGATATTTCTATAATGACAAATTACAGCTGTTTCTCTTGTCATCAGTGCGGAAATATTTCCGAAGCAGTGATTTCCCAGGAGGGGCCATGGTTGTTATCCAGTTAGGATTATGGAAATACTCAGTGCACGAGATGTGAAGCGTGGCTGAATGGAGCCGCGCTTCCGCCAGGCTGGCCTCTGGGTACTCGGCCCTGGCGCTGAGCGTGGAGGGATCAGCCTCCTGTCATAACATTAGCACTCTTTGTCCCACGCACGCGTCACGTTGGCCAGAGCTCCGAGGCTTGCCATTTGTGATTTGGCTTTCATCCTTACTGTTCTTTTAATTTGACCAAAGGATGTTGTCAGATGCAAGTAGCAGTAGAGAGTTTGGTCTTTCCTAGCTTGAAAGATGTTCAGAATTCAAAGGGAAGAGAAATCTTGGAAGCTCGTTCTCAGGCCGCTGTCTGATTACCTGAGCCCTGAGGTTCAAACAAGGGAAGAAAGCCACCCAATGTCCAACAGCCGTGGTTCCACAAAACCTAATCCTCCCAGACAGAAATGCAGGCAGGCAGACGGCGACACCCTCGTTCTAGGACAGGTGAGGGCTTCAGAGAAGGACGATGAGCCTACAGTAGAACAGTATCATATGTCATTTAACTTTTCTCAGCCTCAGTGTACTCCTCTGTAAAATGGGGCTACTGTGAGGATTTTTGGGTGCTGCTCAGCATACATGTCTTGACCATGGGTTAGCATTAGCTATAAAGAAGATGTGTTTCGGAGTTCTCAGAACCCTTTCTGTCCAAGAAACACCATGGGGAGGAAGGCAGAAGCCTCCAATAGGTCCCAAAGCATCTACTCTGTGTTTGATCTTTTATTCTGGGAAGATCTCCCATCATGCTCTGTCCTGGCATCCATGCTTTCCCCAGTCTGGCTCAGCTGCTTGCAGGAAAGACATTCTGCCTGTAGGGTGAGACCCACCCAGTCGTAGAGCTGGTCCTGGCTCCATCATCCATTCATCCATCAGTCCAAAGCCCTGGTCCCTGGCACTGAGCACCTGGAGATGAAAGGAGCAAGACCCTTGCCCCCCTGAGCTCAGAATCTGGGGGCAGAGATGGGCATGGGTACAGAGCTTGGCCACACGCTGTGGCGATGCTGAAGTGGCTGTGGGGACGAGAAGGGGCTGTAAGGGCCAGCTGTCCAGCAAATGGCATGCTCCTTCCAACAGGGTGGAGCTGGAATGCACAGGGACTACATTCCCAGCCTTCCTTGGGTCTAGTCCTCAGCGATGGATTGGGAGTGGAGTGGGATGCCGGCCTGGCAGGTGGAGGCTTTACCTGCTATACCACAATGCTCCATCTGACCTTTCCATGTATTAACTCCATGTTAACCCTGACTCCATGAGACACAATGGTATGTCTCCTTTTACAGATGAGGAAACTGAGCCACAAAAGATTAAGATACAGTGAGTAGGCTGGCGCCGCAGCTCACTAGGCTAGTCCTCCGCCTTGCGGCACTGGCACGCCGGGTTCTAGTCCCGGTCAGGGCACCTGATTCTGTCCCGGTTGCCCCTCTTCCAGGCCAGCTCTCTGCTGTGGCCAGGGAGTGCAGTGGAGGATGGCCCAAGTACCAGGCAGGAGAAGCACCTGGCTCCTGCCTTCGGATCAGTGGCGGCCATTGGAGGGTGAACCAACGGCAAAGAAAGACCTTTCTCTCTGTCTCTCTCACTGTCCACTCTGCCTGTCAAAAAAAAAAAAAAAAAAAAGGATACAGTGAGTAACAGAGTCAGGATTGGAACCAGGAGCTTGGCTCCTAGTCTACCTGTTAGCCTCCGTGCTGTTTCTTGTCTGGCCTACTGTACAGTGTCCCAGTTAGAATCCTCCCCTGAACCCACGGGCCCACGTAGAACTTCCTGGACATTGATGCCAGCCTAGACTGAACCTGGATGTTCAGTGGCCCCAGTCTGAATGCTGAGCTCTGCATTCCTGGTTTTCCTGTTCAAGAATCTGTCCTCTGGTCAGGCTCCGGCCCCAGCTCCAGCCCTGCACTTTCTCAGCTTTCTCCATCGCCCCTCCCGAGCCCCTTCCCACCCCAGAGGTGCAGGGCCTGCAGGATCTGCAGCTGGATGCTCATGTTCAGGACAACTTTGGGGTCCCCCAGGGACCCAGGACAGCAGGACTGCTGCCCAAAGCCACACCGCCAAGAAATATTGAAGGCAAGTCTGTGTGTCTCCAAAACCACATCCTTTGACCACTCTGTCTCCCTAGAACCCCAAGATCAAGCCCAGGGCAGCCCCACTCCTTCTTGGAGATTCAGTTGTGAGATCCCAGACTCCACCCTCAGGGATAGCCCCAGGCACCTGGGACACAGCAAGAGGAAGCCGGGCCCAGGCTGGTTGTCCAGGTGAGCCCAGCAGGCTGAGCTGCAGCTCCTGGACTTTGCCAATTTGTTATTTCTTCCCTAAGAACATAGAACAGCCCTAACGAGATGCAAAAATCAATGGTTGAGGAAAAGACAAAGCAACTTGCTGAGCACTGTATGAGGGAGGAAAGTGGTTTTAACAGATGTTGACAAATTATTTGGTGTGTGGCCTGTAAAGTGGAGAATGAATGTCTGGCTTTGAGTCATATGTATTTTTTCAGGTTGGAAAGAAGAGTGAGGTAATGGGCCAGGGTGAGGGGCCTGGCTGGCCATGCAATTCCAAGATAATTATTGTTCAGTTTATCCCAGTGATTTTTCACTTCTCAGAGACACAGAGAGCAACTGGGGGCTGAGATGGGCTTGCCAGTGATGGAAGGGAGCAATAGAAGCCAATTAGCAGTAATGGCATTGTCAGGAAAAAATCTCAGTCACACAGAGCACACACAGCCAGTGCCTTCCTTGCTATCTCTTTTGTGCCCAGCACTGAGGAGAAAGGCTGGATTACAGGAGAGAATGAGCCCTGCAGAGACAAGGGACGGGGCAGGGGGTCCTGGGGTCTGTGGCCTGACTGTGTGAGGGTCACACTGCGAACCTGAGTCCCGACAGCCGTTCCTGAGCTGGTGCCACAGCCCGGAGCTGGAGGAGGCCGGGCTGGCATCACAGCCTTCAAACTCCTGCCCAGGGCCTAAGCAGGTCAAAGGATTTTCCAGTGGCTGGGAACTTGGGTGCCTTGAAGAAAGCTGATAGAACTGGAGTCTCCCCAAGGGTCTGCTTGGCTGCCCCCTCCCCACCACCGCCTCCCTGACTTGTTTCTGTTGTTACTCCTGTTCACACTGTGAACAGAGATGAAGGGAGAGAGAGAAAAGAGAGCTTCCATCTGCTGGTTCACTCCCCAAATGACCACTACACCTGGGGCTACACCAGGCTAAAAACAGGATCCAGGAGCGCAATCCAAGTCTCCTATGTGGGTTGCAGGGACTCACATACTTGAGCCATCATCCACTGCTCCCCAGGTGCACTAGTGGGGAGTTGAATCAGAAGCAGAGCAGCCAGAACTTGAACTGGCACTCCAATGGGATGCTGGCGTTTCAAGCAGTGGTTTAACCTGCTGTGCCACAATGCCCACCCCTCTTTATCCATTTTGTGCAGTGGTGATTCCCACATTTCAGGAAAGTACTGGGCACATAAAAGGTACTTGGCAGATGGTGGTTGAATGAATGAATGGTGTGGGACCAGTCTTTAGAGGTCAAACCTTCCACCATGCTTCTTCACACATGGGAGATGTAGGATCGGTGTGGTACTTGTCCAAGGAGCGCCAGCCTCTTTGTGCTTTGTCTTTGAATCACAATCTAGTGCTCTTTGCTCTCTCAGTAATTTAAAAAAATAGGGAATTCTTCATGAATTTGCATATCATCCTTGTGCAGCAGCCATGCTAATCTCTGTGTTGTTCCAGTTTGAGGGTGTGTGCTGCCAAAGCGAGCAGTCTGTAATTTAATGGAGGGTAGACATGACCTTCATCAGTGTCTTTTGTGTGCTGGGCGCAGGTTGTATCCGGGCCTCCTCCCTTCCTTACCTGCATACCAGCCCAGTGACCTGCTGGTCCCCGCCCCTGCTCTCCTCCCTCTCTTCACTGGCTCATGACCAATTCCTTTTGGCCTCAGATCTCAACTGGGACACTCTTCCTGATGACCCAGATGAAGCCCCGTCTCTGCTGGACCCAAAGCCCTCGGCAGGTTCTGATCCCAACGCTCGGAAAACACAGTGAGATCACCCTGCTCGTCATCTGTCTGCTGCTGGGTTGGGTGCTGCTTGAGGGTAGATTGTGTCTGACTGGCTCACTGCTGCTTCAGGGCCAGGAACTGCAGATGACGTTTTAGAAAGTGCAATGTGTGAATGATGAAGTTATTTTGCTTCTCTGTGCCTTAGTTCCTCCATCAGCACCTGAAGGCTGACAGTGGTATCTACCTTGCAGGGTTGTTGAGAGGCCCATACCTGGCATGTAATAAGTGCTCATCTACTGACCTCACAGTAATTCTGGGAGGTAGACACTGCTATCCATCTTAGTCCATTCTGTGCTGCTACAAGAGAGAAAGAAAGAAGTAAACCTCCCTGTCTCAGTCAGATATGGGGGTGCAAGGGCGTCACCTGCTCAGCCCTGTGTGGGGGGCAGCTCTGGTCACATCACATCATGGCAGATGGCGTCACCGTAGGAGCACACAGGAGAGGGAGCGTTCACATGGCAAGCCTGGAAGCAAGAGACCCGGCTCACTCTTTGTAGCGTGTGCTTACAGAGAACTAAGTTTTTCCGCGAAGCCAGCATGATTCCATCCATGAGGGTGGCGCCTACAGTGAATCTGCTCCCTTCCACTAGGCACCCTCATTAAGGTCCCAGCCACCTTCATGCCACCACACTGGGGACCAAGCTTGCAGCACATGCACCTTTGGGAGACACACTCAGACATATCCAGACCACAACACTGTCCCTGTTTTTACAGTGGGGAATCTGTGTCCTTTAAAAGTTAAGTGACTTGTCCAAGGCCTTGGTGAGCAGCAGGATTTGAACTCAGATCCATCTGATGCCAAAACTTGAGCCCCTCCTACAGCGTACCCGTAGCTCCCCCTGGTAAGCTGGTGTAGCTTATTTGTTCCACTGGATTTAACAGTAGGCACCAGATACTTTCAAGTTAATTGGGGGGCCAGTGCCTGTCCCTGAGAAGCTCCAAGAGTGTTTATTTTAGGCCTTAATTTAAAGATGCTGTGTGCTCTAAGCTCCATTACCTCTCCCACCCCCATCCTAACCTGCAGTCTGCCCAGCATCTCCTGCCTGTGGACCTGCTCGCTGCCTGGAACAGAGCCATGGGTAGGCCAGGGTTTCCTGTGGCCTTCACCCTGTCCTGTAAGTGGTCACGTGTGGGCCCTGGGAGCAGTGTCAGCCTCCAGAGTCTGCTTCCTCAAGACTTTGAGTGCAGGGGCACTTCTGTATTCCCTTACAATAGTGAGGTGTGCTGATCACTTTCATTGTGGGGCGATATAGATAATGAAATTTACCATTCTAATGGCTTCTAAGTGGACAGTCAGGGGTGTTAGGTATAGTCACAGTAGTGACAACTAACACTGCTGTCTTTCCAGAACTTTTACATCGTCCCACATAGGACCCATGTAACGGCAACTCCCATGCCCTTTCTCACCCAGTCTCCGGCAGCCACTGTTCTCCAGTCTATCTCTGTGCATCTGCCTGCCTTATATATGTAGACTTATACAATATCTGTTTTTTTGTGCTTGGCTTATTTCACTAAGCATAATGTTTCCACAAATCATCCACATTAGCATGTACCAGAATGTCACTTGGTTTTAGGGCAAGCTACTGTTCCATTGCGCTACTGTGTAGCACATGTACTACTATCTTGCTTTGAGTACCTGTGGGTGTATATGTTCTTGGGAGTAGAATCGCAGGATCATATGACAATTCTACATTGAACTTTTTGAGGAACCACCAAATTGCTTCCACAGCCACCACACCATTTTACATTCCCACCAGCAAACCACAAGGGTTCAAATTTCTCCACACCCTCTGCAACACTTGTTAGTCTTCATTTTGTTTTGTTTTGGATAGTAGTTGTCCTAAAGGGTGTGACATGGTATCTTATTGTGGTTTGATTTGCATTGCTAATGATTCACTCTTCATGTGCTGTGGGCCCTTTGTGTGCCATCTTTGGATTCATGTCTATTCAGACTGCAGCCTCCTAGGTCCCTGGTGCAGGCTGCCAGTGGAGGGAGGAGTGGCTTGATGCCACCCACACACTGGCTGGGTAGCTATGATTTGGGGTGGTGTCTTCAGGGCTGGGGCTGCCAGGGGCTGGCAGGTGCCTGGGGCCTTCAGGATAAGCTAGCACGTGGCTCACAGGGAAGGGGTGAGGCTTTGATGCCAGAGTCCTTGTGCAGGCAGAGTCTCCAGGGCTGGAGTCCAGGTGTGGGGGAGGCGGTGGCCAGGGATGATAAGAAAAGTCAGTTATGAGCCACAGCAGCTGTTACTGAGGAGGCAATGGATTGTCTGCAACACTGGGAGAGGGTGGAGTGTCTACTCTAACACGTGGCAGCCAGGCAAGGCCTGCTCTGAGTACAGGCAGCTCCTGCCTCTGAGTGCCCCAGAACCCAGGCCGAGCAAATAGCTGTATCCTCATATCTTGCCCCGTCTCCTTCTTCCCCAGCCCCCCTGCATAGCCTCACTGAGTACTGGTGCCCAACGGTGAGCTGGCCCGTGTGTGTGTGTGTGTGTGTGTGTGTGTGCGCGCGCGCGTAGGCGTGCATGTGTGATGTGCTACAGAGGGAGGACTTGGGAGGAGTGTGAAGGCGACAGGAAAATGTCCCACTTGTACTTGTCAGTGAGTTGGTGTTCGTTTCTGAGCCCAGGCACAGCAGAAGGAACGCTGAGCTAGCAGTGAAGACGTGTGAGACCTCCCCTGGGTTGGCCTCTCACCAGGCGAGGGTGGGATTTACAGTATGAGTGGCTCTCTGCTTCATCAGGGTGAGGTTCTCTCTCTTTCCTTGTGGGACTGGGGCTGCAGGGGACCTGCTCCGAGTCTATCCCCGCTGAGTAGTGTGGTGGCTGCTGTGCACGCTGCCTAGGCCCTTGCAATTTAGTCCTGCTTCTAGCACCAGAAAGCAGCCTCTATTTAGGAATTTATAAATACAGTGAAAAGATGAGCTAAGAAGTGAGCCTATTGTATTCTGTCTACTCAACAGTGAACCAAGCCATAATTGTACTTAGGTCAGCCACACACAATATGAGGCTCCACTCAGAAGGGGCTGTGTGCTAATTGCCAACCCCAGCTCCTCGGGGTAACATTGACCTCCTTAGACAGAAGCCATTTAAGCACCATCCAGTTCCCCTGTCATCTGCCTTGTCCTGATTCTGCGGATTCTGCAGAACTATTTCTGCTTCCCATGGTGGTCCGTGACCTGGACAGCTCCACTCTGTTCATTTCCTTGGTCAAAGTGGACATAGCATTTTCCCAGAACTCTCAGCTTTCCTTTTTAGGGGGACCACAATTGAATGCTCAGATTTCCAAGTTTTCATTGCTGCATTTCTGAGTTTCTAGCTATTTCTGGCCCTACCTGCTACTGCAGAGATGGATGTAATAGGGAGAGTTGGGAGGTCCACTATTCTCCAGTATGAAAGGATCGTGGCTACTGCAAACACAGTCTTAGCTTAGAGCTCATTGAGGCCCCCAGGGCTAAGCCCAGAAGATCAGCTGTCAGCTCTAACAGTGGTCAATTTCTAGCCCTCACTTCACCCTGCTTGGCCAGGGTGACCCTCGTTCCCCCATTGCCTGGGTGAGTGTGATGGTTACTTTATGTTCCAACTTGACTGGGCCTCCAGGCTAAGGCTTGTTTCTGAGGATGTCTTTAAGGATGCTTCTGGATGATACTGTATTTGAATTGGTAGACCCAGTAAAGCAGATTGCCCTCTTCCTATGCATTGAAAGCCTGGAGAGAATACAAAGGTGAGTGAGAAAGAATTCTTTCTGTGTGTCTTTGAGCCAGGATATCAGTCATTTGTCTTTGGACTCTAAATTGAGTTGGAACAAACACCAACCTCTCTCCTGGATGCCAGTTGGCTGACTACAGATCTAGCACTTCTAAGTCTCCATGATTGTGTGAGCCAATTTGTTATAGTGAATCATGTCTCTGTCTCTATCTCTATCTCTATCTCTATCTCTATCTCTCTATCTCTCTATCTCTAGTCCTATCTCTCCCTCTCCTTTTCCCTCGCCTTGTTTCTATCTCTATCTCTAGCCCTAGCCCTATCTCTATCTCTACCTCTACCTCTATCTCTATCTCTTTCTCCCTCTCCCTCTCCCTCTCCCTCGCCTTGTTTCTATCTCTATCTCTAGCCCTAACCCTAGTCCTATCTCCATCTCTATCCCTATCTCTAGCCTTGTTTCTAGCTCTAGCTCTAGCTCTATGTCTCTCTCTTATTTTGATCTCTCCTATTGGTTCTGTTTCTCTGGAGAACCCAGGGTAATACATTAGGGCTTAATCAACTGAGCAGAGCTGGCCAGGTAGATGCTCCAATTTGTCTCCCTCCTCCTTTAAATATATAGAACAAGGTTAGGTATTGATTAGAGGGTCCTCTGGCAATAATCTCATTGGGCCATTTATTTTTTTAATGTTTTATTTTATTCTCATGTCATTTTATTTTATGGGATTGGTTGTTTTTGCAACCACATTCCTGCCTGGCTCTCTGCAGTTATTTTGATCACAGCTGCAGTCCCAGGGCGGTCTCCTCTCCAGGGGGGTCTGGCAGAAAGGGGAGCATATGTCAGAAGGCTGGGGAAATGGGCACAAACCTTTGCTTAATGTTTTATTAGAGTACATGCAGCAATGCATATAAAGCAAGTCCCATGGTGGGAGAATTCAGAATAAATTACTGCTTGCAATTTCCTGTTTGGCATTGATCTTGCAGATTGGGGGCTCAAGATGGGAACGACTGGGTATTATTATACCAGGATCTGTGTTGAAGTTTCCACAAATTCCTCATGAATTGTGTGATGTCAGAGATGTGCAGATCCTTAGAGACAAGCCAGTCTGCCTCACAAAATCTTGATGAGGCTCAGAAACCCAGACAGGCCCGGGATGTCCTAGCAAAGAGGGACGCAGTCTTGGCCATGAGATGAGTTCAGCTTCAGCATCCAGAGGCACTGATTCTAACAGGTGCGAGAGATTGTTTGAAGGCAGCCCAAGTCTGTTCTGACTTGTGGAGGGTCCCTTCAGAGCCGTTGCCTGCCTTTGCCCTCCTCCTTGCTCTTTAATGTGGGTTTATGGCCCAGCCTTGAGGCATTTCCAGTCGTGACTCCTTTGGCAGCCAGGGCAACTCTGAGCAGCTGAGAGCTGTCAGGGGAGCAGAAAGTGCCCAGGGCCTGACTAAGCCAGTTACTTAGTGGGACCCTTGGCTGTGTTCTCTTTCAGGAGGTGATAAACCCTGCCCTGCCAATGTCACAGGTGACAGAGCCAGGGCAAAGGAGTTCAGCCAATGGTTTCAGTGTCCTTCTCTTTTGTAACTACATGGCTCCAGGACCCAACAGGGTTCAGTGCTGAAAGGAAAATGTCTTCAGGAGCCAGCCACCCTCTTGAAATTGTCTCCCAAAATCTCACTGCCCCTAGGCACCTCCCTGCTGCTCCCAAGGCCAACCCTGCTGCGGGGGAGCTGGCCAAGCCAATCTCAGGCAGCCCTAAACAGTGTGTTCTCCAGTGTCCACTCTATTGCAACTTCCTCATGCCCAGTGACTACATCTCACTCTCCTTATATAACCCATAGACTCGTGCCCCTTCTCTGCTACCATGTGACCAATCCCCCGTACCCATAAAATGTAGTGTTTCTTTCTCATGGATTTTGTGGGACAGGAATTTCAGCACGTTACGGATGCTGCTTCCGGCCCAGGGTCTCTGAGTTCGCAGGTAGATGTCAGCTGGGGCTGTGGGCATCTGAGAGTTGTACTGGGGCTGGGGATCCACACTTGAGGGGAAGCTGCTGCTGGCCACTGGAGGGGGCCTTAGTTCTGTCTGCCGTGCAGCATGGGTGGCTCATGGCAGCTGCATCCCCCAGAGGAAGAGGTCTGAGAGCCCAAGGCAGAGGCTGCAGGGCTTTTTATGACCCAGTCTCACTGCCTCTCTATTGTACTGGTCACACAGGACCAGCCCTGATTTGGTGTGGGAGGGAATTACACGAGGGCAGGAATCCCAGGAGACAAGGGCCATGGAAGACTGGCTACCTCGGTCCACCTGCTGGCTCCTGCTGGTTTACCTTGTGAATATGCACTCCATGACATCCTATTGCGTTCCAGCATCAGCTTAAAGTCCTGGACCTTGGGTGAATTCCTGCCCAATTACTCTTGGTAGAGAGGCCTATGAACAACATAAGCCTATTAACTTCCTTGTGCCTGATACGCAATGATGAGACAGACACAGGCTAACCACTGTAGATTCTCCTATTAAGGGGGAAAAAGTGTGTGTGTGTGTGTGTGGTGTGGTGTGTGGGTGGGGGTGGGAGGTGCTCAGAGGTCCTTAGCAATTCTGGATGGCTGTGCAGGGCGCTTGGCTCCACCCTCTGGGCTCAGGCAGAAGGGATCTGAGCCAACCTTTCTTTTCCAAAAGAAACAGCATTTGCAGCCGAGTAGTTGTTCTGTTTGTTCAGACTCATTTGCCTTTTGTGCAGCTCTGTGCCCTGCAGTCCATGTAGGCAATGTCTTAGCACGGTCATCGCGTGGTCTCTATGAGTCCTCACTTCTCCTGAAAGTCACAGCCACAGACACCCGTGGGCAAACTCCCTTCTGTCTTGAGTTTTCCACAGGGCTGAGTGCCTCTTGTTTCCTGGTGAGGGCCAACGCGGGGCTCCTCCTCCAGTTGGAAGTGCCACCTTACATATCTCTGAGGTCCTAGTAAAAGGGTTTCCATTGGTTCCCACAGCTTTATCTTTAGACCACGTTTCCCTGGCAGCACGCTGGATTTGTTTTTTGCCCAGAGGCCGTTTTAAGCCTTTAGTACCAGTTTCCATCTAGGAATGAGACATTTTCATTTTCAGACTCAGCGAGTGCTGGCTCCTTTCGTCCCAACGGTTCTGTCTTTAAGATGTCGCCTCTCTTTTCACGTTGCAGTGTAAACAGAAGCCAGGTGCCACCTGTACCGTTCTGTCAAGAGATCTGTGCTGAGACATCTGATTTGTTAGGTACATTTTCTGCTTCCTGTTTTACCACGGAAGATGGTGCTGTTAAATTCCCCTCGCTCTATGTCGGGGACTGCCCCAACCCCTATGTAACCATAGTTTGAGATAGAGCTGTTGACAGTCTACAAAGATTAGATGAGGGCTTAGGGTAGGGCCCTGATTGAATAGGGCTGGCACCCTTGTAAAAGGAGGAGCCGCCAGAGCTCTTTCTGCCCCAGAGCGTGCACGGGTGAGAAGGTGGCCGTCTGCAAGCTAGGAAGAGCCCTCACCAGTGCCAGGTTGAATGGCACTCTGTTCATGGACCTTCCAGTCTCTGGTTGGGAAAGAAAAGGAATTTATTCATTATTCTTGTTATTTGTTTCTGTGACAATATAGGTGTTTGAGCCATCTAGTTTGTAGTACTTTTTATGGCAGCCTGAGCAAAACCACACACTAGATGGCAAGGGCCCCCTTTGCTCTGTGGTCTAAGACTATCTCTCTTTTGCTTTTCGTGAAGCCCTCATGGTAGACTTCTTGAGGGTTGGCAGATCCCTCAGTCTCTTCTAGACCCTCCCAACCTCTCCTCTCAATGCCACTGTTCCATTTTTTTTTTTTCTAATTACAGCATCCCCACACTTCCTGGTACCCTAATCTACACTACTTATCTGTTACTGCTGACGGAAATTCCCAACATTTATTGGATCAAAGCAATAATAATCATTTACTCTCTCTCTCTCTCTCATGGTTTCTGTGGATCACAAATTTAGGAGCGGTATTACTAAGTGGGTCAGGCTCAGGATCTGTTGTGATGGTGCAGTCAGATGGTGTCTGGGGGTCATTTTTTTTTAAAATAAAGATTTGTTTATTTACTTTAAAGTCAGACTTACAAACAGAGAGGGAGACACACACAGAGGTATCCTCCATCCAGATCATCCCCATTGACCACAATGGCCAAGGTTGGGCCAGGTGGAAGTCAGGGGCTAGGAGCTTCTTCTGGGTCTCTCATGTGGGTGGCAGGGCAAAAGCACTTGGGCCATCTTCTGCTGATTTTCCCAGGAGCATTAGCAGGGGTCTTGGTTGGAAGTAGAGGAGCTGGTACACCACTGATACTGGGGTCTTCTTGAAGGTGTTGTAACTTGTGTGTCTGGTGCCTGGGCTAAGAAGATGGGCACAGCCAGGGGTGGGACACCAGGGCTTCTCAGGTATCTTCTCTCCGGCATCTCTCTAGGTGGCTTCCCCAGCATGACACTTGCAGACTTCTTATGTGTCCTTGAGAAGGGCTCCCAAGCGTGTGTTCCAAGAGAGCTGAACACTTTTGATGGCCTAATCTCAGAAGTCACCTAGTGTCACACCCACTGCACTTCACTGGTGAGAGCAGTTTCCAGCCCACCCAGATACAAGGAGACTGGATATAGTCTCCTTGCATTCCTCTTGGTAGGAGGAATGGAACTCACACCGTAGCAAGAGCATGCCGGAGTGAGACATATGTTATATTTCTGTGTGTATTTGTTGTATTTTGAAAACTATAATCCTAATATATGCACCCTGCACACAGTGGGTCTTTGGTGATTGTTTGGTGCTCACTTGATTTGTTTATTGACCTTGTGTTTAATAATAGTAGTTAGATTTCCAGATGCCTTCATTACCAATCCCCTCTCCTCATTGTAGGTAAGCACAGTTCTCATTTCTCCCAACATGCATGAATTTTGCCTATTTTTGAACTTCTTTAAATGAAGCATAAAAGTGCAGTCTTTCTGCCTGGCTTCTCTATCATGCAGAGCACTCTGTACACATTATCTCGATTCTTGCAGCAATCTTAGGAGATAGTCAGATATTCACATGCTGCCTATATGCTAGCCAAGTGCATTCTGGTTAGCCTGCACATTTGGAGTTTGACTACTTTTAGCAACAAAAGTTGAATGCAATCTTTATTTCTCCTTGTTATTGCATGCCCTTGTGTGAAGTCATTGATTATACTTGCCTGGCCCCTGTAGGCCCTGAGTTTGTATCCCCTAAGGGGAGCATTGTTGTCTCCAGCTCCTGAGAAAACACAGGGCCATTAGGGCTTAAAGAGTTGGCACAAATTCTCACATCACGGCCCTCTGAAGTGGGATTTGACCACAATACTGTCCTCTTCCAGTGCGTCTAAATTAGGATCCAAAAAGACAAGTCTGTCCCCAAGTTCTGTTTCTTAGCCTGAAATTCCCTGGGCTTCATTTCTTTTCTGAAATCTCACTGTCTGCTTTGGCCCATGGACAGGGCAGGGACAGGTACAGGGGCTGTGCTTCTTGGTACCTGGAATTCAGCTTCCTCTCCACCTGAGGCAGCCTCTGATGCTGAGTAGTCTCTGGCTCCCCAGCCGATCCTGCAAGTCCCAAGCACACTGTGTTTCTCACTGCTACCTTCTTGCTCACACTGAGTCTTCCTGCCTGGGTTGCCCAACACTACTCGGTCATCCTTCGTGGTTCAGCCAGGCCCCCACCTCCCCTGGCCAGCCAAGTGCTTCCCTTTCTTCTCCAGACATGAAGACGCCATTGGAAAACTTTGTGCTGTAATTACCAAATGAGGTATCAGATTGATCCAGAATGATTTTTTAGGAATGTGATTCAAGTTTCAGTCCCGTAAAAGGTTAAAAAAAAAAAAAAGAAGCTAATTTCACTTATTTAATCTCAGCTAAATGCATCACTGACTTTTTATTGATTCTTGAGTGAGATGAGAGGCATCTGTGCTACCCCCACTGGGGGACAAATGAACAAGCAGCCATAAGTTTATTGCTTGCAGGTATCCCGCTTGCTTCCCACATACCCCATTGGGTTTCAATTCCATCACAGCCAGGCTTGCTGGGGCACCCTGGGCTTGACCACACAGCCTAGGTGCTGGGAGAGCAAAGGAGAGGCTGCAGCCCTGGGCTGGGGAGAGTCAGGAGCTGGGCTGGAGGTAGAAATGGAGTGGCAGCTGGCTTAGGGGGAACCTAGGAATATTATTAGAGTTCAGAGTTCTTGATTCCAGCCCTTTCTTTCCTCTTTGTTGCATCTCAGACTACTTATTAACTTTTATGGGCTTCAGTTTCCTTAACTGCAAAATGCATTTCCTAGGTGACTTTATGAGTTTTTGGACTTGGGATGAATATAATTACCCTCAGCTGGAGAATTGGGTTTTACTTTTCATCCATGCTTTGAAAATTAGCTCAGGAGTTTGAGATGAAGAATTATATTTTCTCCTGGCAGTATTCAGCTAGTCACAGTAGCAGACACCATCTTTTATTAGACATACACTGTATGCCGACCTTGGCAGGACCATTGCGTGCTTTATCTTGTTTATTCCCATCACAACTGCAGTCATCTCCACTTGACAGATGACAGAGTGAAGCTCAGAGAGGGGAGGGCACCTGCTTGCTGTCACATGGTTGATGAGCTGCTGAAATTTGAGCAAATAATTGGTAAAATAATGAGTGGCGTGCCTATTTCTTTTTTTCTGCTCAGCATCCCCGCCCCACCCACCCTGTTTGCCTTTTGGAGACAAATCTGGCCTATTTGGTTAAAGACAAAGTCAATCATAGAACCCCATGCCCAGGTCCTCAGGCTTTGTCCAAGGGGGTACCTCTGGTGTAAGATAGCAAAGGGCCTTTCCCTTGGGTGGGTACTTGGAGTTGAGCTGCTGCTGGTGCATGAGGTCAAGCTGCCCAGTGCGTGGCGTTGCAGCTGATGCCATCTGGAAGCAGCACATTACCTGAAGCTCTGGGGCAGCCTGGAGTCCAGCCTGCCCCAGGTTCTAGTTATCTAAACTCAGTCCTCATGCCCTGTCATCTCTCCCTTGGCCTTGGGACACCACTGTCTTGGCTTTTCTTTCTGCCTCTTCAGCTGTTCTCAGTGTCCTGTTCTGCTACCCCAACTTACATGTCAGACATGCGACCCAGGATACTACGTGCAGATCTCTTTTTTTCTTATTCTGTCTAAAACATTCATACTGGTTGGAATCCCCAGGGATTTCAATACCTATTTTCTTTTTTCTCTCTCTCTGTGTGTGTGTGTGTGTGTGTGTGTGTGTGTGTTTCTGATACCTTCTATTCTGCATCTCAGCCTGGATCTCCCCTGCAACCCCAAGCTTTATATCCAGCTGGTTGTTTCTGGGCATTTGAGTAGGAGAGCATGCAGGCTTGTGTTGTGTCTCCGCAAAATGATCTGTTGAAGTCCAAACCCCAGGACCTCAGAATGTGACTTTCTTTTGAAGTAGAGCCTTTACAGAGGTAATCAAGATAAAATGGGGTTGTTCAGTGGGCCCTAACCCAGTATGTCTGCTGTCGTTATGGAGAGGAGA